GGCGTGGGGTGTATGTCCTGGCGAAGCTCTAGTACACGAGGACAGCAGGGATTGTGTGGACCAGTGAAGGGCTAACCGAGCCCCCAGGCCTTGAATGCGCTGGCCCACGGAGTCGACCACGCGCGCAGGTCACAGCACGACACCCGTGTCGAGTCATCCCCGCGCGCGAGAAAGTGGACGCGATGCTGGCGGCGCTAGCAGCGGCGAAGGCGAAAATCAACCCGGTGTCAGGCCCCCGTGTAGTGCTCCCCGAACTGTCGCCGAGATCGTCGTCTCCTCTCAGAACGCCGACCGAGGGCCCCTACGAACGGCAGAAACTGTCGGATGCCTCGGCCAGCGCCCGAGGGCTGCGACGAGCACGCCAGATCCGTACAGGTGCCAGGTGCCCCACGGCAGTCTCTCGTCGTCCTATGGCTTCGGTGGCCCGCAAAAGCCCTGGTCGGCCACGCGCAGAGGGGGGTTGGGGGGAGGGGGGAAGGCTTCCACGTTAGAGGCACCCCTGCTTCTCAGAAGGCGCAGGCTTTCACTGCCGATGCGAGGCCGGCGCCTTCTGAGAAGCAGCCTCCTTCTAAGAAGCCTCCCTCCCCCTACTCCCTGGTGCGCGCCGTCAACCTCGGACCAGACGAAAGGGCAGGATAGGGAAAGGGGGGGATTCTACGAAACCTGCTGCAGGCAGCTGGTTCTTGCCCTGCCGCAGGGCCCATTCTCCGAGGGAAGAATATTTGCATGACCACCTAGAGGATCAATTTTCGGGGACTTCGCAGGCGGTGGATATGGATATATTCGGGCCCCCGGGGACCAACATATATCCATATCCACCGCCCGCAGGGGCACCAGGACGTCGTTTCCCAGGCAGTTGATATGGTTAAATCCTCGCCTCGCACATTCCTCGATGTGTGGGCGCCTCCTGGCGCCAGGAGACGCCAGGAAAGCCAGCTGCGTGAGCTGATTTTCCACCCTTCCCTCTGCCATTCTACCCTTTCCGTTCCCCCCCGCCAGCCTGGGACACGCCCTGGGGCGTCCCCACATCCAAGGGAGATGTTTCCCCAGACGTCTTATGTCGGTATCGTTTAACCGATCCCCATCCCCATCTCCATCCCCTTCGAGACCCCCACCGGATTACCACCCCAGTTGGGGATACACCCTCGAAACCCGAAGGGAACGGCCTATGTCCCCGTATAGGGGAGTGGATCGGCCAGTGGGACCCAGGCCACGCCGCCGGGGATGGGGATCGGCTGAACAATATTCGTTGTGGCAAGATTTCACCTCGCCCGCGCCCGCTGTCGGAGACAACCGCCCGGCGCCATCGCGACGCGGAACTGCCGCAGGCGGGAAGAGGTAAGTCGGGCCTGTCCCTCTACGGAAGATATGCTAAACTAGTAAAAGTACTCCGACGGAAAGACCCCACATGAACATCTGTTCGGCTAGTCTGGAAAGAACCTTCACTGTCGTGCGGGCCCCATACGGAATGGGCTCCCGCTTGAGATTTGCTTACAGTTTACTCACGGACGAGGCTCCCGCCTGAGACTTTCCCCATACTCAGGCCTCAGGAGCCCAAAAGTGACGACAGTTACAGGTTCGAGGATGACCCGCTCGGATTGGAAACATGAAGTGCGAGCCCCATAGGGAATGGGCTCCCGCCTGAGAATTCCTCGTGATTCACTCACGGACGAGCCTGCCGCCTAATACTTCGCCCATATTCAGGCCTCAGGAGCCCAAAGGTGATGACAGTTACAAGTTCGAGGATGACCCGCTCGGAATACCAACATGAAGGGCGGGCCCCATAGGGGAAGGGCTTCAGCCTGAGACTTCCTCGCAATTCACTCACAGCCGAACCTCCCGCCTGGCACTTCCCCCATATTCAGGCCTCAGGAGCCCAAAAGTGATGACGATTACAGGTTCGAGGATGACCAATTTGGACTGCCAGCATGAAATGCGGGCCCCATAGGGAGAAGGCTCCCGCCTGAGGCTTCTTCGCAATTCACTCATAGACGAGCCTCACGCCTGATACTTCTTCCATATTCAGGCCTCAGGAGCCCAAGAGTAACGACAGTTACAAGTTCGAGGATGACCCGCTCAGAATACCAACATGAAGTGCGGGCCCGGAGGTCTCCAGCCTCAGACTCCCTCGCAAGTCACTCACAGACGAACCTCCCGCCTGGCCACATACAGGCCTCAGGAGCCCAAAAGTGACGACAGTTACATGTTCGAGGATGACCCGCTCGGATTGGAAACATGAAGTGCGAGCCCCATAGGGAATGGGCTCCCGCCTGAGAATTCCTCGTGATTCACTCACGGACGAGCCTGCCGCCTAATACTTCGCCCATATTCAGGCCTCAGGAGCCCAAAGGTAATGACAGTTACAGGTTCGCGGGTGACCAGCTCGGAATACCAACATGAAGTGCGGATCCCATAGGGGGGGGGCTCCAGCCTGAGACTTCCTCGCAATTCACTCACAGATGAGCCTCCGGCCTGGCACTTCCCCCATATTCAGGCCTCAGGAGCCCAAAAGTGATGACGGTTACAGGTTCGAGAATGGCCCGCTCGGAATACCAACATGAAGTGCGAGCCCCACAGGGAGAGGGCTCCCGCCTGAGACCTCCCCGCAATTCACTCACAGACGAACCTCCCGCCTGATACTTCCCCCATAGTGAGGCCTCAGGAGCCCAAAAATGACGGCAGTTACCGGTTCGAGAACGACCCGCTCGGATAAAAAATATGAAGTCGGGCCCCATAGGGAGAGGGTTCCCGCCTGAGACTTCCTCGCAAGTCACTCACAGACGAGCTTCCCGCCTGATACTTCCCCCATATTCAGGCCTCAGGGACATGATGCTGAGTGATGAGATAGAGAGAGTGTGCGTGTGTAATGTGCGACTGAGTATGATGATGATGGCGGTGGTGGTGATGATGCTGATGCTGATGCTGATGATGATGATGATGATGATGATGATGATGATGATGATGATGATGATGATGATGATGATGATGCTGATTATGAAAATGATGATGATCGGTGGCCGATGGTGATGGTGATCGATGGTGAGCGGCTGAGTCTGATGATGGTTGTGGTGATGATGATGACCGATGGTGATGATGACCCATGACGGGGTGAACGCGTGAGTGAGGCGGAGAGTGGGAGGGAGGTGAGATTCCTGCGCGGAGGGTGTCCAGAGAATACACGAACACCACTTCGAATGTGGGGAAAAATAGTCTGGGGACGATTTTTTTTATATATATATATATATATATATATATATATATATATTGTTGTTCTTCTGGGAGGGGTTATTTTTAATGTTTCGTAGGAAATCCGCCTGTAGGGGGACACGCCCGACTTAAACCTCGCCCGCGCCCGCTGTCGGAGACAACCGCCCGGCGCCATCGCGACGCGGAACTGCCGCAGGCGGGAAATCAGGGGCAACGATAGGGGGGGATGATGCATAGGGGGGGATGCATCGACCCCCAATCGCCCACTGATCGCCGATAGGGGTTTGATATCCCCAACCCGCCCAGGAAGGTGCGGATTCACTGTCGGGGGTCTATCGCCGATCTATCGGCGATGTATCGCCGATTCCAGGTCGATGCATCCCCCCCCTTGTGCCCAGTTCCCCCCCCATCGTTGCCCCCCAGGGGAAGGGGAGGGGAGAGGGAAGGCCGCTCTTGGAACGCTTGTCTGCTTCGGATCCCTACATCGCCGAGGCGGGGGCTCATCCATAGCCACCTGCCTGGAGGGTCGATCTTCGGGGGGTCTTGGCAGGCGTTGGACATGGCCACGCTCAATCCCCCTGGGGCCTAGGCAGGTACACCTGCGCCGCCCCCTCAGGTCCCAGGACGTCGGTTCCCCAGTCGGTGAATATGGACAAAACCCGGCCTCGCAGGATCCTGCTCTATCTGAAGCGTCATCCTGCTTCAGCCACTGGTTGGTCTCCCAGTGTTCACCGCCCACTGCTCTGTCGGGACGTGACCCAGTCTATCCTCACCGCCCTCCTGCCTGACAGTTTTGCAGAAGTTTCTCCTGGCCAGGCTTTGCAGGGGAGCTGGTGAACAAAGCATGCAGCTGCCTTGTCCGCCTGGCCTGAGCGACCCGCATGCTGAAGCCGCGATGGACGCCGTTTTGGTCCCAGATCGCTGCATCGGTAAAGCTCGGCGGCGAGCTCAGGGGGGAAGTGAGAGGGTCCAGGCTTTTTCAGAAGGCGGCCACGCTTCTCAGAAGCCCCCTGGCCTTTGAGAGGCCGTCTACATATGTGTCTTTGGAGAAGTCTTAGAACATTTCTCTAAAGGCGCGATGGCTTCTTCTGAGAAGCCCCGCCCCCTTCTCAGAAGACATGTCCCCTCTCTCTTCCCCCCTGGGTTTGCCGGCCGCCGACACGCAAAAGGCTGACAAAGAACAGCGCTCGCAGCGTTGTGGCAGAGGACAGGGCTTCTAAGAAGCCGCCCGCCTCCTTCTTATCACCAGCTGCACCGTAAGAGTGGCCTGCTGCTGGGCCCCCGGGTCGTGGAACGCGATGCGATGGTAGCGGCTTGTGCGCTCTTGTGTTTGGCCTCCCCGCCGCCCCCGAACGTCGCGCACCAGAGGTCGCTCTTGCCCAGGGTCCCTCTGGCCCGTAGCCGATAGGAGCCCCCGCCGCCTCCGCTTAGGTCGGGCCTGTCCCTCTACAGGCGGAACATCAACAAATACTAAAGCAATAGTCTGGGTACGATTTGTTGTGACCATTTTGGGGTTGCTCTTGAATATGTTGGACAATGTTTTTTAACTCTTCGCCCAAAGTCTGCCTGTCTGTATGGGGGACATGCCCGACCTAAGCCTCCACCACCACCATAGGTTGGAGGGGGGAAGGAGGAGGAGGAGGAGGAAGAGGAGGAGGAGGAAGAGGAGGAGGAGGAGGAGGAGGACGCCCTTCCCCTCCAACATATGGCGGTGGCGGTGGAAAACACGCCCATCAGATAGGAGCCCCCGCCGCCTCCGCCGCCTCAGAGGGCGCTGCCCCCGTGCCCAGCAGGACGTGGGGCTCATCTTCCTGGCGCAGATCGCCGCCGCCGTCTACGCGGCCGCGACGGAGGAGGACTCGGGAGGGGAAGCAAAAACACACAGACACGATTAGTCGTCGACGCCCCGGAACATATTGGAAAATATGGGTAGTGGGGGGGACGACGAAAACCCAGAAACTATAGGGAAATATGGGGAATCCTGCTATTTGTTTTTACTTATTTGTTTGTCTCAGGGCCCCTTCAGAGGATGCGCGACGCTCGGGTCGGACGAAGGGGGGGTATCCGGCGGGTATCTTTTGGATGGCGTGTCGACCCTCCAGTCTTGGCCGCCCACCGCGCTGCGGTCCGCCGCGCCGTCCACCTCGCGGTCCTGAAGGCGTCCACGCGACGAGCCCTTCCGAGCCTCCCGCCCCGCACAGCGGCGCGGTACGCTATCCGCTCACGGGGCGTAGCGTGTCGCCGGGGCCGCCTCCGCGGCGACACGCGGATCAAGAGTTCCCAACCCTACGGATCGACGAATCGACGATGACCAGGAATGACGAGGATGACCAAGATCGACACCGACGTTTCCGCGTTCAGTCTTGGTTGTGGCCATCGTTTCTTTTCCCTCCAAGGTGGGGTGGTCGAGGGCTCGGGCAGGAGACATGGGAGGATAGGGAACGGGGAAAGGAAGACATTTGCTGCATGCAGCTCGGGTCGGATGGAAGGGGAGGAAGGGGGGATGGGAAAGGGGGGGCGTTCGACATCTGCTGCATGCAGCTGGTTTCGGCCCCGCTGCTGGGCGCCTTCCTCGATGTCGCGGCGCCTCGCGCGCGACGCTCGGGTTGGACGAAAAGGGGGAGGGGAACAGGAAAGAGTGGGGGGACGACATCTGCTGCACGCCGCTGGTTTCGGCCCCGCCGAAGGGGGCGCCTTCCTCGATACGTTGTCGCCTCACGCGCGACGCTCGGGTCGGACGAAAGGACAGGGGGGGGACACAGGCCTCGGAAGAAGCTAGCGAACACTCATCCCACATACATGTGTCAATGCCCCCCCCCAATGATCAATGTTGGCGGTGGGTTGAATGCGTTGCACGTCGACCGCAGTCTTGCCTCGCGCGCGCCCACTTTGAATTGGGGGAGAGGGCGAGTGTCCATGAATTGTTGCCCTCGACCGTAGGGATAGTAGGGCGGTGCGACATCTGTTGGTTTCGGCCCCGCCGCTGGTGCCTTCCTCGAGGCGCCTCCTGCGCGGCGGGGCGCCGTGAAAGCCAGCTGCGTGAGCCGATTCACAAACCACTCCTCTGCTGCCCCCCTCGTCTGGTCCGTCAAGAGGGACGTGGCGGAACAAGATCGAAGAACAGACAACATAAACATGCGAATTTCTTGGATCTGCGCTGGGGCCCCCTGGCGGCCCCACCGGCGCCGCCCCTGGCGCGCTCCGCGCGCCAGGGAGGGTGCTCCAGCGCAGATCCAAGAACTACTCGCGGACCGTCGAAAATGTATGCTTGTGTGGTTGTTCGTCCTGAAGAACAGGAGGAGGACGTTGATGAGCATGTTGGTGAAGAAGGGGCAAATGTTGATAATGATGGGAGAAGAGGCGAGGAGGGGGAGCACGCATCGTCGCGCCTCTTCTTGGTTCCCGAGGCCTTGAGACCAGGGGTGGCCGTCTCCAATAGGGCAGGCTCTGTGCGAGAGCGCTCGAGCTTGCTGGACTCGATCCGATTCGGTCTCGATGTTCCAGAGGTCCGATGCAGTCAGATGCTTGCAAGGCGCAGTTGTGCAGCCTGGCGCAGCCGATCCGATTCGGTTTCGATTCCGTGGCTTCGATTCCGTGCCAGGAAACCCCCGCCCGACGCACGTTCTGATCCGATTCGAGTTCCCGATTCGAAAAGCGTCGAATCGCGAAAGCCAACAAGACGACAGGCTCCAATGATCTGCCACACAAGTCAGGGGAGGGCGGATTGAAGGACGCTGGCGTCGGCGGCAGGCAAGCGCCGCCAGGGCTGGGGTCGGCTACGCGTAAGCGTGACCCTTCGCCGGAGTGATCTTAGGTGCGCAGCTTTCGGGGGGCGTGGCATGCCAGACTCAAGCACGCGGGCCGCCAGCTGTCCCACCGCATGCAACGGCCGGCGAGCCGCGCACCAAAGGTCACTCTTGCCCAGGGTCGCTCTTACAGTCAACGCGCCTAGTAAGGACGCGCGCCTTCATCTAGGGTGCTCTTGTTTCCTTGCCTCTGCGGCCCTTCCTTTACCGTTCTAACTGGCCGCCCGCCGCCCACAAAATCCCAACTTCTGCCTGCAAGGGTCTTGCGTCGTTGCCACCCTTGCTTGCAGTGGAGAGTCGCGCCAAGAAACACCCTGCTTGCCTCCTGGGTGCCCTTTGTTTCTTGGGTTTCGATGTTCTTGCTATGGAAAGCGTGACGCTCCCGCACCAAAAATCCATGGACGTCCTGGGGTCTCAGGGCTGGGTTTCTTGTAGAAGGCCTCGTGTGGTCGAGCTACACTCGATCCGCGTGACAAGCATGAACAGCTTCCCCAGAGGTGCCCTTGAATCCTTGCCTCCTCGGCCCATCCTCGGCCACTTTCGCTGGCCGCACCCCGCTCGAGAAGCTTCGGAATGGGCGTCCACGGCCCTTGCATCCTTTATCGCGGATTCTTATGATAGGGGCCGGCTGTACGTTTTGACTGCACGTGGAGCCGATGGGGGCGGCCGCCAGGCAGGGCCAGAGGCGGTCGGGGAGACGGGGGCCGATGGGAGGAGGCGGCCGGCAGCTCGCGGAGGGCGAGCGCGCTCGGGCCGAGGGTCCACCGCCCATCGAGCCACCCTAGTCCAACCCAAAGGCCCAAATTTGCCCTCCACTGCCAGTGGTGGGGGGGGGTCGGGGAACATCAAACAAAAACACACACATGAAGCCCGTTCCTACCCCCCCCCAACCCGAGATTCGGGTCTTCGGGTTGGATTGGGGTGGCCTGGTAGGCAGTCAGAGGGCAGGGGTGGGCAAAGGGTGGTCCGAGGGATGCCCGCGGCGGCGGAGGGCAATCACCGGGGCCAGGGAGGTTCGGGGCAGGTCAGAGGAGGAGGAGGGTACCGATGCCGCCACCATTCCCTCGTTTTCCCATGGTCGGGCCTCCTGAGAGGCCCTCGTTGCCACTGCTGGATTCGCATCGAGATTCTGGTGAAAACGCATCCTGGGAGAGGTCCAGGTAGTAGCGGTATCGGTGCCTTTTGGTATTCCCCAGAGAGGGCGCAGCTCGACAAGGGCGGCGAAGACAACGTAACGCAGCGACGACGACGGGCGACGACGACCACACCACGAAAGCGACAACGGCAACAGCGGGGCGACGGAGGCGAACGCGACGACGGCGTGAAAGGAATTCGGCTGCACGTTAGAGTGACCCTTCGCAGCAGCGACCTCTGGTGTGCGGCTTTCGGGTGGGGCTGAAAAGGCCGAGCACACGCACGCAGGCCGCTGTTGTCACACCGCGTGCAACGGTCAGTGAGCCGCGCAGTAAGGTCACACTTGCCTACCGGGGTCACTCTCGCGCGTAGCCGCGGAACTGGCGGCGGCGGAGAGCAAGCACTGTCAGGTGCGGGGGCCGTAGGGACGGGGCGGAACGGAGGGAGGTGACGGCGGCGAGAGGCATTTCCGAGGTGTGGGGAGATGCCCGAGCGTACCGTAGCGCCGCGTTTGCCGACGGCTCGAAGTTTGCGAGCCATTGCTGCAGACCCGCCCCGGGTCTCCCCGTTTTGTCACATACGTATTCCCCATCTTTTGAGGATACTTCTCACGATGCTGCAGTCGCAACGGTGCTTGGGCCGCTTTTGAAGGGATGTAATGTAAACGGATCAGCTCAGCTCCGCATGATTGTTCTCTGAGTTGTATCTGCCATCGCTCAAGATCAGATGGTTGATTCCATACCATCGTCGCCTTGCCCTCGAGACGAAGGTTTCCCACATCGCGGAGAATATGCTTGGTGCTCGTACGGGGAACGAGGGGCAATCCCAAACCGATACCCTTGAAATGATCTGATGACTAATCGAGGTTGTTTGTGTGTGTGCGTGTGTGTGTGTGTGTGTGTGTCGTTCTGCTTGTTTGTCAGCCGCTCCCTGCAACACGTGCGTGCTTCGCCATGCATTTAAGGTAAGGGGTCGTCCCGTCGCGATCCGCTTCGTTGAAGCGAACCCATCGCACTGGCATTGCCGACGGCCTCCAGGTGAAATTGGCGTTGCCTTTTTTCTGCCCCAGACCCTGCGATTGGACAACGCGAGGGGCGGTACATGTCTCTCCAGGCTCACCTTGCTTGCGCTCGTACGTTGTGCCACCCCCCAGTCAGGCTAAGCCTACGGCCGCACCTCCCTTCGCCAAGGCTAGGCTTCCGTCTCATTCACTCGTCCTCCATGTAGGCCTGCGACCACCCCCTTCCCCTTGTTAGTTCGGCATCCATGCAACGTCCATGGGCTATAGCTGCCGCAGGCGCATTATTCGGATCAGCGGCTGTACCAGCAACTGCTGCAATGCCAGTGCTAGTCGTGCTTGCAAAGTGGTTGGTCGATCGTTAGGCTTCGATCAGCATTGTGACGTTCCATTAGCTTTGTCGGGCGTTCGTGTGCCTTCGCAGACTGCTGTGCACACAGCGTATCAGATCGTGAACTGGCTCAGCCAAGTCATGCCGAGACCATCTTAAGCACAACAGTTTGCGCCTAGCTCAACACTGCTTTCTGCGAATGCTGTCCTAGCGAGTCGCTTTGCTCAGCTGAAGCCCTGCACTGTGCTTGGGCCTCTACTCGTGCGTAATCCTTAGCGTCGTCTGCTGTGTCTGTTCAGGCTATGTGTGTGTATGTTCAGGCTCGTTGCCCAGGGGCTAACATATGTACTTTTGTCTTGGCCCCGCACCCTCATCTTCCGTCAGCTGCCTTTCACAAGCGAAAGCGCTTGCCAGTGCCAGCGTCGTCCCCGTCGCAAGTCCTCACAGGTGCTCGTTGCGCTCGCGCTCGCCACCATGATCACCGGGGCGGTCGTGTGGCTCATGGGGAAGCTGCGGCTGTCAGGCTGCAGCACCCGGCGCGCCCTTGCCACTGGGTCCCCTGAAATAGTTTAAAGTTTGCCAGCGCTAGCCCTAGTTGAAAGTGCGTGGTATAAGACATGTGGTGTAAGCCACCATGCCGACCGTGCAGCTGTCAACTCCACTGCTCGCGCAATCATCCCACTCACCCGCCCGCAACTTGGTTTGCAAAATCTTTGTGGCGGCGATTGCGATGAGTGCATGGCGATGGCTGGCGCATCGCTGCGGCCGCGCTAGCGCGCGCAGGCTCGCGCGCAGAGCGGCCAGTTAGTCTGGCGCGACCGACGCGGCCGCGGTAGCGCTGACCGCTGTTGAGTTCCCAGTGCGTCTCGCAGGCCGCGCTGACGCACGGGCACTCGTAGTGCGAGTCGGTGATTCGGGCGGGCGCGGCATCAGGGCGACGTTGGCAACGGCAGACACGATGATGATGGTAGCGATGCAGGTGATGATGGTGACAATGGCGACTGTAAGGCCAAAGGCGGCGCCGATGCTGATCACGACTGTGACACTGATGGCGTCACAGTGTTGGCAATAAAGTTGATGGATTTCGAATAGCTCACGCTGCTGGCGCGCGCAAGGGTCCCGCGTTGCATTATCTGACAGGGGTCGTGGCCGGCCCCCCCCCCCCGCACGCGCGCAACGGCGTTCGACTGATTCCGACATGCGCGCGCGAGAGGCTCCTTGGGTCGCACTCGAGGACGTGATGAAGCACCGATGAACCGCGCATATTTTCGGACATGTGAAATTATTGACGCCTCGCGTATCCCCACCAGTCCTCGGGCACGTTCCTTTCTGTCCGCATCTGGACTTCCGGGAACGCCTCACTCGCCATTTTGGCTGCGCCTGGTCTCCTCGGTGCCTGTCCTCAGGCTCGTTGGATGCACCGTTGCATGCCCGTCCTGGGGTTGTCTCAGTCTCCCTTGATTGCACGTCGGCTGCCGCCCTGGGCGCTGCCTCCGCCGCCTGATCTGCGGCCCCCGCGCGCGTTAGGCAATTTAGCCGCGGACGTAGCCCGCCCGCGACCTCCCGCCGCTGGCGTTTCCGCCTGCGGCTGTAAAACAAAAAGTATCCCCACCAGGGTCCGTAGCCATTTTGGCTCAAGACCACGGGCCCCTGGCCGGAGTGCTACGTGCGCCGCTCGATGCTGATGCGACGATCTATCGGGCATGGCGCTGGCGGGCGAGGCTCGCTGGCTTCTCGGTGCCTTGAGACGAGCGGCGAAGGCAAAAGGGCCCACATGCGCGAATTCCAGGAGTATGGTCGTCGTTGCCGAGGCTCTCACATCAGAGCTGGATGGGGCTGAGGTGCCGCCTGGCCAGGGACGCCCAGCACCCCGCCGCTGCGGCCCTCGGCAGCCATGCGCATCCTCGGGGCTTACCCAGTGTTCCCGGGCTATGTCGCGGACCGCAGCACTGCAGCGCCGACTCGAGGTGGACTTCGGCATTCCCCATCGCCGTTCCCTGAGCGAGCAGGTGGCGCTGGCAGACCACGCAGGCCTGTTTAACGTCGGAGAGCGTGCCCTGGCCGACGATATCGTTCAGGGTGGAGACTGGGGCCGACACTGCCGGTTGAGGCGAAGCTTCCCAACCCAACGGGTCACGTGGCAGCCTGTGCAAACGAGGGGTGCCAGGCCAGAGCCGGAGCCTGCCAGTCATCTGTCGACAGGGATACGCCCCCAGGTTTTGGAGTCAGCGGCCATACTCTGCGCTGCGGCCGTACTCTTCCTACAGGGGGCTTGGAGGCGGGCCCAGCACCGCCGCGCCCTGTTGCGTCATATCCCTGGCCTCGCTGGACGGCTGCGGGCCGCGCAGAACGCATGCGCGGACGTGACCCAGCGCACGTCGGAAGCGGTCTCATCGAGCTTGGGCGTGCTGATTGCTCCTTGGGCCGCGCGTGGTCGCCATGCCAGGGCCGTCGACTGCAGACACGGTGCTGTGTGCCCTTGGCACTCGATATGCCGCTGCCGATACCGTCACGCTCCGAGGGTTGCTCAGGAGGCGTCCCTCCTCGTGCCACGCGCCTCTTCGAATGCAGGGCCTGGTCCTGGGCGTCCTATCGCCCATCAAGAGACGTTGCTGCAGGGTTCCACTGGGCATGCCTACGACTCATCGGAAAATGGGCCCGCGAAGTCAACTGCCATACCGTGGCCCTGGACGACCCGTATCTTGGCGGGGTGCGCCACAGTTGCGAGCAGTTGTTTCCTCGTGCAGAGTTCGCCGACCCCGATTTGCTCTGGCAGATGGTTGATGACGTGGGCTACGAGGACTCCACTGAGTTGTGGCAGCTGCAGGCAGTTGTTGACACCCTAACCCTATGGCGACACGCTCCACGATTCCGCCGTATAGAGTTGACCATGCGGCCTCGGCTCCGAGCGCCAGACGTCCTAGCAGGGTCTTTGGTCGAGAAATGGGCGACTGACTTCAATGCGGCATGGCAGCCCCGAGGGATCAGCTTGGCCGTTTACCTCCAGGACTCCGTCCATACCAGGCGTTGCGTGCTCTACGGCACTTGCGCGGTCGTCGAGCTGCGCATCGAATGGGGCATCGTTTTCTGGGTTGACACACCAGACAACCTTCGGAAGCCTCAGTCTGATCGAGCAGTGAAACAGACGGACGTTGTCGTTCTGCAGCACGCGCAGGCTTTGCAGGTGCGCGAGGCGCCGCCGCTGCCGCCCCCCCCCCCCACGGATGTGGATCGGCACGGCTCCCTGGCCGCCCTGCTGCTCCGGCTTCTCCGGGCAGGCCAGGCCCAGTCCTGGCGGGGTTGGGTGTGGTGCCGACGCTGTGACGCGCGACAACAGTCGGCAAACGCCGTGGTCCAGCTACAGGACCGCAGCCTCCGGATTATCCAGTGTGGAGGCCTCCCATGCCGCATCGCCGAGGAGCATGGCATCATCCTGCACGTGCAGTGCCGCGAATGCGCCAAGTCACAGCACGGACGCGGTCGAGCGCACTCTCGCGAACTTGTTGGTGGAGCCCGCCTGCGTCGAGCCCTCCTAGCCGAGCGTGGTGGTTTGGTGCGCCTTCTCCGGGGCATTCTTGCTATGGAGATTCGCATTCCCCCAGGCAGGACGTCGGCCCCTACTGCCCACGGCACAGCTGAACAGCACTGGAGGTTGCAAGCCGCGTTGCAGCTGAGCATGGACGGTGGTTCTCTCGACAGGATCCGGCAGGCTCTGGACGAGACCAGGGTATTGCCGCTCGTCCGCCCCGGCGAGCCCGACCCCATCCGCCTCCTTCCGAGCCTCGCCACCCAGGGGGCTGCAAGCCATGACGTGGGAACGCAGTGTCCGCCTATGCGATTCAGCCTCCGTCGAGTCGCAGGTGCCCCCCGTGAGTTCGAGGCGTCTGGCGCGGATTTTTTGTTGGACGTTGACGAAGTCGCTTGTCTTGTGGGGTATCGACCGGGGGGGCGCCCTTGCATGCTCATGGAGCTTCTATCCGCGACGAGCACCGCCCTACAAGAGCGGCCAGTGAATGCCAGTTTGCTTCAGCTGGTGCATATGGATATTGACAACGCCGTGGTTGTGGCTCACGGTCGCAAGACATGCAAGGGCGATTCCCGCATTCGTTTTGTCGTCACCTCCCTACAGTTCTGTCTAGAGGGCCTTTCCCCCGCGCCGCAAGCCGACGGCCGGGTGGAGGCTGAAGGCCTCGATCACCAGACGCATGCCAAGCTCATCGGGGTAGCCATGCTGCGCGAGAAAGGGGGAGGAAGAGACGCAGGTTGCAATGGAAACGTTCCAGCAGCGCGGAAAGGCCGCCGAGCTTCAGTGGCCCGAAAAGAGGCATACATGCGTTCTTGGTATGGCCGCGCGCTTTGTCGGCCCCAAGGCCAGGTCAGTGCTGAATGTACGCGGGAGCACTCTGAGCTTGAACGACGGGGCTGCTGACGGCTGGGCCTTTAAGATGAGTGCTGCGGCCGTTCGTGTCAAGGCGATGTGTGATTTGCCCTGTGGCACCCGCACAGAACAGCTCCCGGACACCGCGTTCCAGTAGGACGCCTTTTAGTACCGATGCCAGGGCCCATCGGATGATTACCAGGCGTTTCAATGTTTGTGCGACCTTGCTGCTGGGGAAAGGCAGCACGCGGTGTCCGCGTTCTTCCTACCGCCTAGTCACAGACGAAATTTCCAGCGACAATATGTATTGCCACGTGGCCGTAAGAAGCCTTGATGCCAGTGAGTGGCGGTCAGCGCACCACCGTGCGTCAATTGTTATACCGTTCGAGCGGGGTTCTGTTTGCGACCCCCGCGTCTTTGGGGTTAGTTCTGCGCGTTCAGGCTGCATTTGTTCCTTACATTTTGCCGTCCTGTCCTTCGGGCGAGGTTTGGACTGCCGATTTTGCGAGCGAATTGGCGCGATCTTTACTCGCGTTGGGGACGCCGCAGTCGCGCGTCCTTCACGGCGGTCGAGAAAGAACTCACCGACATATTGGTGGGGCGGCGGAACCGGGGAAAAAAGCACGAAGGGGGATGAGGAAGAGGAGGAGGCCGAGAAGGAAACGGGAGCAGGTGGAGGACGGAGTGGAGGGTGGAGGTTTTTTCCCGTGCGCTTCCTCGTGCAGGCTTCGACTGCGAGCCGTGGTGCGCGTGCGCATAACATGTTGCAGTGGCCTTATTTCGTGGTGCGGGTGCATGACTGTCCCCCCCCCCCGAGGAGGCCACACTTCGGTTACACGCGTCGATTGACCTTTTGCCGGGGTGACCTTCGGTGCTGGCCCGCTGCGAGGTCGAGGGATTTTGCGCTCGATCTCGCGCCCGCCCGCGAAACATAGGGTTGGACCCCAAAGCGCCCCCGAAACCACGCACTATAGGTCTCCCTTGCCCAAGGCCGCTTTTGCGCGTGGGGCGAATGAAAGTACGATCGAGTGCCCAAAGTGGGTTTCATGCAGAGAGAGGAACGCATGAACATGCAACGGAACAAGTGCAATTCACGATTACACCCTCGATTGCCACACGCATGCCCCCACGTGTGACACATACTCAGCCAACTAACCTTTCGCCAATCTACTGGGCGCGTCGTGCAAAACACGCTCCAAGCCGGTATTGAGGCGATTTCGGAAGAAATGGCCGATGGAATCGATCCACTTCGTTCTCGGACGGACGAATTTAAGCGAACCGGCAAAGCTAGAGAGAACTACCTGTGCCGCGCAGGTTTAACATTATTCAAGACGCTTCGCGGTCACCGCCCGCCCATTCCAGGTCTCGCCGGACGAGGAGCAAACGGCTTCAAGACGGGATAAACATAGCCGAGCGTAATTTTAGACCCAGTGGCGAAGATGGCGCCAAGACGGGATGATTACATCCCGACAGTGGTGATTGACTCCCGCACAGGTGTGTTTTGTGTTTTGTCATGCGTTGAATTCCTCCTCCATCCCATCGTCGGTAGGACTCAGGTCAGCCGCGTGGCTGACCGATGTTCAATGTGTCGATTTGTCGTCGGCCGTGCTATCATTACCAACGGATCAATGATATGGACGCTGGCCGTCTTCACCTTCGCTCCTTGTCCACAGCAGGTGGCCAAAGATAGCCAGAACGCTGCCCAAGACCAGCCAGAGACGCCCCGCAAACGGCCCCAAAAAGCGCCAACACGGGTCGAAAATGGCCCAGAGAGGGGCCCAAAATGGGCCCGAGGCGGCCAGGCGGGCTTGTGGACGACCCAAGCGCGAGCATCCCCGCATTGGACCGCACCCCCGTCCGTCTTCGGGTAAAAAACCTGGCCGACTCTGGGCCGTTTTAGGCTTCGTTTTGGGGCTCAAGTTGGGCCCCACATCGTTTAAAATTGAGCCCAGATCGTGTCCAAAAACGGCGTCGAAGTTGACACGCTGAAAAATACACCAGGCGAGCCCGGAAGTCAGCCAGAAGGGTCGTCCGGGCGACCCCTGGCGAGGCCAAGATCATGAAAAACTATTGGTTGTGTGTATATGTTTAAAGTTTCCAGTCTGTTCGCGTTGTTGAGGCCAAGAGGTGTCCTTGAGGGCCCCAGGAATCGGTTTTAGAGGCCAAGAGGGGCTCCCCACGGGGTCAGAATCGAGCCGAAATGCGGCTGAAAACCGCATTGGAAGCGGACTGAAAATCACACTCGTCTTGGACGCCGTTTGGAAGCCCTGTTGGGGCCCGAAAAGGGGATTGAGCGCAGCCGGGCGACGGAATTGCGGAGACCTCCGGGGGGGGGAATAGGGGGGGGCTAAAGGTCTGGAAGGAGCCCTCGCAGTTAAGTCTCACACGCCCCTCAGCCCAGTGGGCGGGCGGATTCGATCGCTTCGCTCATTCCGCCGGCCCGTACTGTTCCATCGCAGGCGTTCCTGCCTGGGGACTCTTGGGGTCCGTTTGGGGGCCGTTAGGGGCATCTGTTTGGGCGTCTTGGGGGCCTCGCGCAGTCTCCCTGGGCTCTCCTGGTGGCCTCTTGGGGCGGAAGGCTCGAATTCGTAGCTCGTGTTCCCCCTCTTGGGCCCCTTTGGGGGCCTTCTTGGGCCCCTCGGGAGGCGTTTTGGGGCCCTCTTGGACCGTCTTGGGGTCCTCTTGGGAGCCTCTTGGGGGCCTCTCGGGGGCCTCTCGGGCCGTCGTGGGACGGTCTGGGGGGCGTGTGGGGCCATCTTGGAGCGTCGGAAGCCCGAAAACAAGAAAACGCGACAAAACATTGAAAACACTCAGAAAAAATAGAATTTGTCCTTCTTTTGGCCCTCTTTGGGTTCCTCTGGGATCGCTCTTGGAGCTTCTTTGGGGCCTCTTGGGCCGTCTTGGGTCTTGGGGCCATCTTGGGCGTCTTGGAGCGTATTTTCGGCGACTAGGGGCTTTCTTGGGCTGATTTGGGGCCTCTTCGGGCATCTTCGAGCGTTCTGGGGGTCCTGACAGGCCGAACCCAGGAAGAACACCATGTCTGAGGCGCTGCGCCCGGGCTGCGCCCGGGCTTCAGCGGGGAACTTTTCTCTCTGGGGACCCCCAGAGGCCGCCCCGCGCGCGCGAAGTAGAAGCATTGTAGACCTGTTAACGGAGATCTTAGCACGCCTCTGGCCCGTTGGGCCAGCGAATTTTCCAGCGATAAGTGCCCATTACCTCGAGCCAGTCCGGCACCAGGAAAATAGTCATTGATCGTTCGACTCTGCGCTTTCACTGGCGCCCAGCCTCAAGAGACTGGAGGTCAGCCTTGCGAAACCCAGCAGTACGTCGTAACATTTGCGCCCAGACACTGGATAGTCTTGCTCTCTGTCGTGTCGTCAGCGGCGGTGTGTCCAAATTGTACACGGTGGTCGGCGACGGTGTCTAACAATTTCAGGCGCATTTTCAGCGACAAGTGTTTGTTGATGAAAGTTGTCTTGAACAAATGCCAGTTGGACCATGCACGCTGCATCTGGCATTCTAGATTGCACGAACCATGTTCTCGGAGATCTCCGTGGAAGAGCTTCCCGCAGTACTTGTGCAGGTCTGTTTGAGCATCACCGGCAAGCTGCAATCATCCGCTTCCAACAGCGCGGGTTCCTCTAGTGAAGCAATATCAGGGTAAGTTTTGATTAGTTTGGTCTTACTTGCATTCAGCTCTAGGGCGCTCTGGAACAATTCTTGGCGGAGAACGGCAAGCATACGGGAAACAATTTCTGGAGAAGCGGCGTAAAGAAGTCTGTCGTCAGCATGACGCACGTTGGTCAACAGCTCGGCCGCCCCAAGGTGGAGCCCCATGCCTTGGACGCGGTCTTTGAATCGACGCAAGGCTTGCTCAAGACCTGCGTTGAAAAAGGAGCGAGCTCAAAACGTCTCCCCGCTTGACCCACAGGCTGATGTCTATTTGCTTGCTGCCGTAGACGGTCCCGAACTGTCCAGAATACACATCGGACAACAGACAAAGATACTCAGGATGGACGCCTTGAGAAAGGAGGGCGTCGAATAATGCAGGCTGTTCGATTCGATCGAAGGCATAGGTAAGGTCCACGCTGACGATTCACATGTTTCTCCCCACGCGCAGGATTTGCCACATACTTTTTCAAGGACCACGAAAGCATCGTCGACCGATCTCTCACGCCGGAAATCTACCTGATCAGCGGCTTGTTGAGCATCGAGCGTTGGTTGAATGCGTCCGAAGATGAACTTGGAGAGGATGTTCTACGTCATTTCCAGCGAAACGATGGGCCTCCAATTCTTGACGTCCTTTCTCGGGCCGCTCTTGTGACGCGTCGTGAACAGGGTCGCGTACCAGCAGGGTTCGAGGACCCCCGTTTGGAGCACGTTGTTGAAACAAAAAAAGAGACATCCAACAGCTGGCAACCACCATGTTCAAGCATCTCGAGGGTGATGCCTTCCTTGCCTGCGCACTCGCCCTTCTTCGTATTCCGTAGCGCAGATTCCAGAAGGGGAAAACACACATACACCATTCATCGTCGACCCCCAAGAAAATATAAGGAAATATGGGAGTTGGTGGGGAAGACAAAAACGCAGAACATATTATGTGAAAATCCTGGGAATCCTGGGATTTGTGTGTATTTATTTGTGCGTCCCTGGGCCACTTGAAGATTGCAGCTCGATCCTCGTGATTGACTTGATGATGTAACGACCTCTGTCGCACTACGTGTGTAAGACCAGTCCGCACGTGCAGTCCGTGAACCTGTTAAGACAACCTCTTCCAACGATTCCCGAAACTTGTCTGCAGCGACGGGGCATCTCCCCGTGCAGAATTCTGCGCGTATCCCCAAAATCGGGGAAACGTAAGACTCGAGTAAGCCGGAACTCGGGTTTGCCAACTATTTTTTAACGAGCGCGTCCTGGATTTTGACGGCCCCTTTTTCGTGGGATGTCTGCAGCGGGAGCCCGCGTCAAATTTCAGATTGGGTCTGACCATTTTTATGATGGCCCCCGTCAGGCCAACCCGAGTCCCCCGTACCCGAGTCTTGCGTCTCCCCGAGAAAAGTTTGTCCAACGTTGTCGGCCTCCGAACGTCATCGTGGAGGACCGAGGATCGAGGATCCACGGCTGGTCAGGTCTGGATTTGCGCACAGGCAGCCTCGGGAGGTAGCCGGCCGGGATTTCATCCGGGGGCTGTCTGTCCCCCACGCTTTTCAGCCTCGCCAGTCCGAGGTCCTTGATCTTCGACGGCGGCAACAATGACGACGAGAACGGCCAACATCCATTCAATATCTGCGGACCGCCGGCTTTAACTGCAACAGGATGTTTGATGTCCTCGAAGCAGTAAAGAAGAAAAACACTATAGTTGAAAGAAGGCGCCGACAAGCGCATGCTTGTTGAGAGGATGCAGAACATGCAATCACTTGTTGTCGCTGATGCACAAGATGCAATCGAATTATTGTTGCTGCTGGCGGCCGGAATCGGCGGCTGCAAGCCACGCGGCGTGCCACGGCCGGAAGACCGCCAGTTTGTAGTTCAACACCCGGTACGCCAAAGTGCAGAGTTGAGGCCGGTGGTGGTCGTGCCAACCATGCAGCATGAAAGCGCTCCGTTCGGCCTGAGAGAGGTCGGCCGGGAGTGGTAGAGGTAAATGGAGCCCGTGCGCTCGACGAAGCGGCTCCGTGGTCGGACATTCCTGCATCATGTGGTGGGTGTTGTTGTCCACCTGGCAGGTGGGGCAGGTGCGCGAGAAGCAATCCGGATGCAGATGCGAAAGGCGCACTGCGTTGGGCTCGGCTGCCATCACGCACCTCTGTGCCAAAGCGAACCGGTCGTGGTCGGCCCCGGCGTTCTCGTTCAGCCACTCGCAGAGGGTCGTGTGGCAAGGCGCTGGTACGCGGCCGGCGGCCTCCTTGCGGAGCGTCCGTCGGTGGTAATGTGTCCAAATCCATGCCCGCCATGCCTGGCGCACGTGGTGGTCCAGGTGTTCTTGGCGAAGGAGTCGAACATCGAAAATTTGATGGTCGAAATGGTACTTCCATGGACTGTCTGTGGGCTGCCAGAAACGGGAGACGACTTGCCGGATCCGGGCAGCCAGGCGATAGCTCCACGATCCGTCCGCACGACCTCCGTGCTGCTCCTGCTCGTGCAGGTGGGTCCAGGCTCGCTCCATGGTGCGCGCGGTGTCCTCGCTACACGCCGCCTCCACGAGACACCGGATGAGAACCGAGAACTGCACCGCGAAGGGCTCCACGAGCCATCCTTTGTCCGTGGTGAGCCAGAAAGCACCGCCGTGCCTCCATGCCCAATGTCTTTGTCTCCTGGTGATGGTCTTTCCTATGTCGTAGCGCATGCTGTGCAGGTTCGTGTCGTCGGCCATGACCCACGGAGCGTCCCAGCGCCACAAGGACATGGTTGCTCTCACCATGGCCATGCGCCTCCGGGCCCCGAGCCCGGCAGCTTTGGCGATCCTGGCGATGCGTCGGAGTCGTTCCTGGAGCTCCCCTGCCCTCCGTTCGGTGCGCGGGCCGCTGCGGGGGTTGCGGGATCCAGTAAGGTCGAAAGCGATGCCTAGCACTTCGATGTCGGTGTCGATGTGGTTGTCGGCGCGACTGTTGGTGAGGGGGAGGGGGAGGGGGAGGAAACTGTCGGCGCGGTCGGTGCCGTTGGTAAGGAAAACCGCCGCCATAGAGCCCTTCTTGGGATCTTCGCGTTGTCCCGTGAGGCGGTCCAGACGTGCCACCTCCTGGGTATAATGTCGGTCTGCCTCCAAAGAGTTGGTCAGGGCCGTCCTGTCGTCGACGTACGTGTCGAAGTACTGCAGGCCGTCGACTGTGCTCTTCAAGATTGCCTTGTGCGTGGCGGCGACCACAGCCGCTCCCAGCGGAGAGCTCGGGTCGCCCTGTGCAAGACCGCTGCCTGGCGATGGGACGCGCATGGCGTACTCTCCACCACGGAGAATTGTGGGCTTGTCCACGTTCACGGAGAAGAGGAAATGAGCGTGCGTGTCCGGTATGCCGTGAAGAACCGCCGCTCGCTCCGCCAAAGACGGGTCGATGTGATTGAAGCAGCTGGCCAGGTCACTGGTGCGTGCAACTGTCGGGAGGTTGTCGGCTATGCGTGCGGTGACGGCGGCCTCGAACCGGAGCAGCTGCCCGACCGCGTCTGTAGATTGGACCTTGGTGGTCCAGAAACGGTAATGTTGAACAAGGCACCTCGACAGGGTGCGCGTGACGACGGGGATGACGGCGATCGGGCGTAGGTCCTGCGAGGAGATCTTCGGAATGAAGGTCACGTTCTGCGCGCGGAGCGCGTCTGGCCAGATGCCCGTGTGGTTTTGCCTTTTTCCGAGCCGCGTCCAGCCAGGACGAGGATCTCCAAAGACCCCAAATAGCTTTCAAGTCACGACGAAGACGACGGCGATCACGACGACCCGGACATTTGGCGTTTTTTCTTGAGACAGGGGGACATGGCCCCGGGGTCGGCCTTTCGTCCTGAGGGGTAATCTGACGGTTCCAGGGCCCTTTGGTGGAGGCTCCCAAGAGGCCGACCCAAAGACCCTAACATTGGCTTCGTGTGCTCTTCACGACGCGAGAGGGCCTGGGGACGATGGCGAGACTCACGGCAGGCTACGTGCAGCTGCTGCCGCTGCCGGTCGTCGGCGGCTACCTGGGGTACATCGGCTACTTCTGCCTGGCCGCTGGCGCCTCCCTGGGCACTGGACAGCCTGCTGCCATGGCCAGTGGTCGTCGTTGTCGTCGCTGCCGCCCGACCGTCGTCGTTGTCGTCACCGCCGTTGGCGTCGTCATAACTACCCGAATCCTCTCACGCTGTGAGGAATCATTTCTGTCCTTGATGTCCGGGGGCCCTCCCTGGGCCACAGGACCGTACGCAACACTGCCCAGGACGAACAATCGGCCCCAGGAGGGAGTTTGGGCCGCTGGGGGGCCACGTTCGGAACAAAGCATGACGTCGGGGTCTGTATGCGTCGTCGCTGGCGTCGTCTCGGTCGCCGTCGGCGCCGAGACTTGAGAATGGAGGCTCGAGGCTTGGTTTTTGGTTCTCGGTTGGGCCGCTTTTGGGCCCCGCGGGTGCGCACTTAACGCCATCCTCCTTGTCCTCGTCCTCCTTCATCCTCCGAGTACGGGATCGACTACATAATCTGCTTACTCCAAAATTGTTTTCCCGCCAAATATATCAGACACACGTCGGATGTTCGTGGATCTGCTGGACATTACACGTAGCTGCTCCGTAGATCCAGCGGGAAAATCGATTCGGAGGTGAATCAATTGTGTATCGATCCCCTAGTCGAATCTTCGCTCTGGCTGTGTCTCACGATTTTAATGACAATGTGCTTTGACTCGCAATGCCAGCTGATGTGTGAGTTGGGGATCGCTTGTCGGAGGGTGTGCTCCGTGGTCGAGGAGGGAGCCTCCAGGAGTCCAGAGGTATCCAGAGCTGAGCTGTCTTGATACGCCCGGGTTGAAGCGCAACACGCCCCGTGTTAAAAACGCACCGGGGCGAAGTTACGTGTTCGTTCAGAACGTGGGCCATCTTGGGGCTCCGTGTTGAGTTCCGCGTTGAGCTCCGTGATGAGTTCTGTGTTGGGCGCATCCGGCCTCCCCCGCTTCGTTTTCTCTTGCAGCTGCTCGCCATCCTCTGCCTCCAGCTCCTGCCAACTCATCGTCTTCGCCGCCCCTCCGCTGCGGGCATCTGCAGGCTTAGAGCCTAGGCCCCCCTTTTGATAAGAAGGGGCTGCGGGGGCGCCTCGCAACCAGGGAGGCCTAGAAAACGTGCGCTCTATGGGCCCAGAAAGGTGTTAAATGGGCCCGGGGTGATACCATTCGGGTTTTGGGATGTTTAACGTTTCCGGGGAGGTGTTATTTATAGGCATTCGGATGTGTTCATTGAAGTGCGCAGGGGTGTGTTACATGGGTCCGGGAGATGCTATAGAGGCCCCGCGGGGGGCGTGGGCTCCAGGAGGCGTTGTGGTGGCCCTGGGAAGTGTTGCGCGGGCCCCAGGGAGGTGTTATACTGCCCCCATGGGGGTGTTTTACGAGCCCAGCCTGGTGGGCGTTATAATGGGCCCGTGGAGCTGTTACACGGAACCCCGGGAGGTGTTATAGCGGCCCCAGGGGGATGTTATAGCGGCCCCCGGTTTGGGCAGCTGGCTCCATGAAGGCCTCGTGGAGGTGTTATGGCGGCCGTGGGGAGGTGTTATAGCGGTCCCGGGAGGTGTCGTAGCGGCGCTGGGCGCCCGGGGGGGGGGGTTATAGCGGCCTTGGGGGGCTTGTTGAAGGCCCCGCAAGGTGTTATGCGGCTCTGGGGAGGTGAGGGTGGCGTTCTAGCGGCCTTATGGCGGCCCCGCGGGGGCTTCTTGGAATCCTTGGGAGGTTGTAGAGCGGCATCGGCCAGGTGTTATAGCGGCCCCCGGGTGTTTTCGCGGTGGGGGGGCCGCGGGGTCGGCGACGGCGGCGGCGGCGACGTCAACGGGGGGCGAGGAAGGAGAAGGACGGGCGTTGGCCGACAGAGAGGAGGAGCGGGCCGTGTTGGAGTTACGTGTCGGGCTACGTGTTGAACTCCGAGTTGGGCTACGTGCTTAGTTTTGAGGGCCACGTGTTGCAGGCCGGCCCACGTGTTGCGTATTGAGCGTGGGTTGTGTACGTGTTGGCCTACGTTTTGGCGAGTGTATGCAGCCATGTTCACGTTTGGAAGCTACGTGTTGGGCCCTGTTTCAAAACGTTCCGGGTTGCGTGTTGCGTATCGGGGCAGGTAAGATCCAGAGGCTTCGGGGACCTCGCCGCGCGCTGCTGGGGATCTCCGCGGGACCGCCAGTGGATGTCGGACGTCGTCAACGTCGCCAACGTCGTCGCCGCTGTCATAAACGCGGTCGTCGTCCTTGTCGTTGGTCGTTACCGTCGTTACCGTCGTCGCCATGGTCGCCGTCGGTCGTGGTCGTGCGTCAGACGCAGGTGCGCAGGTCGCCCGTCGAGCGAATCCGTCGGCGCCACTGGTTTTTGTTCCTTCCTCCTCCTCCTCCTTCTCCTCCTTCTCCTTCTCCTCCTCCTCCTCCTCCTCCTCCTCCTCTCCCTCCCTCCCTCTGCAGCGTCGCGGCCTTGCGCGATCACCTCGGCCAAGGTCAGGTGCTGCCGCCAGGCCGCGGGGGTGTATAGCCCCGTCGGCGCGTCGGGCCAACCCGAGTCCCCCGAACCCGAGTCGACTGCATGTAGCAGTGACTTTTCACCGGAGTGACCTTTGGTGCGGGACCACTGGGGCCCCCTGTTCGCCGAGCGCGATGCTATAGTAACGTCTTGCGCGCTCGTCGCGCGCCCCCAAAAGTCAGCGCACCAGAGGTCATTCTTACTCAGTGTCGTTTCACCGACCCCCATCCCCATCCCCATCCCCTTCGAGACCCCCACCAAATTACCACCCCAGTTGGGGATACACCCCTGGAAACCCGAAGGGAACGACCTATATCCCCATCTAGGGAGGTTAATGGGCCAGTGGGGCCCAGGCCACGCCGCTGGGGACGGGGATCGGTTTAACGATGCTCACTTGCCCAGGCTTACCTCCTGCGCGAAGCCGACCGAGCCTGTTTCAGCCGTGAGTGCCGTCCTCCCCCCCCCGCCCTCTGCGGCGGCTCCTCCGCCCCGTCGCGCCCTCTCACGCAGCGGGACCCTTCGTCGGTCGCGTGTCCCCGACGTGTCGAGCGCCCGTGCGGATCGCCTCCGCCGTGCTGCGCCGTAGAGATCGGAGGTTGATCGACTTCCTACCCTGACACGTCGATTAGCGAATTGGCCGTTGTCGGCGAGAGGGCGTCGCGGCCGTCATTTTTGCGGGTCCAGGTCCGTCGGTTTCGGTCGTAGGCCGTTTTCATTAAGGGGAGGTTTGCTACAGGGAGGTTTGCCCACCGCCGCGACATGTCGACTGCCCGTGCGGGTCGCCTCCGCTGTGCTGCGCCGCAGAGAGCAGCCGGCCGAGCCGCACGGCTCCCACAGACGACGCGCCGTTTTCATTAAAGGGTGGTTTACTAGAGGGAGGTTTGTCCACCGACGTTCCGAGGAGATGGGGTCGGAGGACCGCCTTGCATCGCCGATGAGTCGCCGATGCGGCTCGACGTGGAGCCCGATTTGTGATTCACGCCAGCGTCGCCGATGCATCGCCGATGTCGCCGATGCCTCGCCGATGCATCGGCGATGCGTCGGCGATGCACTGGCGATGCGGCGTGATCCTACGACCCTATCTACTCGGACCCATCCAGGAGGCCTCTATCGGCAGGCAGGGGGGGGGGCAGGGCCAGGGTTGAGTCGGGCTCGTCCCTCTACAGGAGGAAAGTTCAAAATAGTCAAAAATAGTATGGGCGACGATTTGTCGTGCATTTTTTGACCATGTTTGAATATGTTTTGGCTATTTTCTGTTTTTCGTCCAAAATGCCCCTGTAGGAGGACATGCCCGACCTGAGGCCAGAGTCGAAGGAGGGAGGAACGGCACCAGCAACAGCACAGGCAGGGCCACCCCCTGGGCGAGGGGGTCCCCCCTGCTGCCTCCCCGAGCTCGGAGGTTCGGGACGCGTCGAGCTGGGCGCCAGGAGCGGTGCCACAGCGCGACCACGCTTGTGGACGACGACAATCTGAGAAGAAGCATGTTGCCGAAAAGTTCCTGGATGTCTGAAACATGTTTTGAACATGTATTCAATATGTTATAACATGGTTCAAGCATGCGTAAACATTTCTATGACATTTTAAACACATGTTCAGTGATCGGATTGTTAGGGTGTCCACTGTTATGGCATGGACCCTCTACCGCCCCATCCCCAGGTGGCGCTGATTCGGGGAAACGTAAGACTCGAGTGCGCCGGAACTCGGGTTCGCCTGCGCTTTTCGACGAGCCCGTCCCGGATTTTGACGATCCAGTCTTAGTGGAATGTCTGCAGCGGGAGCCCGCGTCAAATTTCAGACTGGGTCGCGTTATTTTTATGATGGCCCCGTCGGGCCAACCCGGGTCTCCCTAACCCTGTTTTACGTCGCCCCGACTGGTGCCGATGCCCCTTGCTCCCTCCGGACGTCGGAGGCAGTAGGCTTCCTGAAGTTGTCGCGTCCGAAGTGGGTGCGTAAAGCATGGTCGCACTGCCCAACTGCACATGCTGTCCAAGACCGACAGCGGGAGCTGTCCAGCAGGCGGCCTTGCTGTCTCAAATGGACAACGCCTGCGGCGACGCCGATAGCGAGCCCTTTTCAAAATGGAAAGGACATGCTGCTGGTCTTCGTCTCCATTCTTCTCGTACCCATGTGCTCGACGCCGAAAAGGGGGTCGTCTTCACCGACATTGGCGCATAAGCTGCCCGCGTACGCTCGGGCGTAGGCGCCCTCGTCTTTATTGTGGCGTGCCGCGCTGGCGGCCCGCGTAAGCCACCGCGCAAGGTCGCTGTGCCATCTCGCGCAAGAACCGTTTTGGATCGGCGGTCGTGTCGATCGTGCCGATGGAGGGCGGGCTCTTGAGCACCAGGCTCGGGCCTGCCGTCTCGGACGATAGTGCCGGTCCCCACTGGCGGTGCCCACTGCCGCTCGCCGGCGGAGTCCCTTTCGGAACCGGCCGCGACCACCCCGCCACGCTCCCATTCTGCAGCCCAGGCTCAAGAGGGATAAAACACACAGGCACGAATCATCGTCGATTCCCAGGAGAATATGGATCAGTATGGGAAGTGCGGGGGAAGACGAATATCCAGAAACAATGATCAAATATGGGGAATCCTGGGATTTGTGTGTTTGCAGCCCAGACGCCCCCGCGCGCAGGACTCACCGTCGACGGCTTCACCACCTGGAGCCAGTTCTTTCTACGAGGTGAAGGGGCTGGCCCCGACCAGCACCTCGCATTCTTTTGTGACCCCGTGCTCCTGACGAAGCTCTCGCTGAGGAGCCCCCCTTGGCCCCTGGCGCGCGGTGCTGACCCGCCACGCGGTCCCGCGCGTCCGAGGTGAGGTGTTCACTGGTCTTGCTGCTGGCTCAAAGGGGGGAGAATGAGGCTGAGGAGATGGGGGATCGCGTTTGCGTTCCCGCTGCTGCTTTCATCCGCCGCGAGCGCCAGCGTCAATTTCATGTCCGGTCACCGCGCCAGCGTCAGTCCGTGCTCTCCCTTTGCTTGCGCCTCGTCCCCAGTAGCAGTGGAGGCAGTTGAGGTTGACGGCCCGACGGCAGGCGCGGGGGTGAAGGAGAAGGGGGTGGGAGGAGGAGGGTGAAGAGAAGGCGGAGGAACAATTATGTTCAGAGAAGGCCTCTGAGAAGGCCTCTGCCTTCTCAGGAGGCCGCCCCTCCCTTTCTGGCTCGCCGCCAAAGGTGGCAGGGGAGGATCCGAGGGGAGGAGATGCTCCGCTCAACTCTGAGCTTAGCCCGTGATGCGCGCCCTTGTGGAGTACCTTTGCGGGCGAGCTCGACCCGCGGGAAGACGTCAATGTGGAAGTGTAGCGTTAATCTAAGTGGATTTGGGTCTCCCTCAGCTTGGCCTTCGCCATGGTCTTGTTTCTCATATCCCGCTACGTCACGCACGAGGCCGCATTGCCCGTCGTGCTGATCGTGACGCCCATCATATTCTTCATCGTGCTCTTCTGCGCAGGCACGCCTGCAGAGCCCTCGCCTGTAGCACCGGCATGAGAAACGCATGGGAAGGTGTTCGATGTATGTTGTGGTATTTGAAAGCGCATGTGTTTGAAATTGCGTGTGCGAATCGCCTGTCTCTTCCCGTGCACCGTTCCGAATGCCCGCGTCCCATCGAAACACCCTCAGCTGTGGATAGGAGTGGGGAGACGCCCAGCCTGGGACGCACAAAAGTGTTCTCCACAGCCAGTGCAACACAGCTCGCCGCAGATGCCGAGAATTGTTTCTGGGACGCAATGATCGGCGGCGAGCCCACGTGGGGAAGTCAGCGGGGGCAGGCTCTGTCAGAGAGCTCGGAAGGCCTCGGAGCTTCTGAGAAGTTTTCGAAGCCCTTCAGAAGGCGCGAGGGCTTCCGAGAAGCCCCGCCGCCTTCTGAGAAGGCCTGCCCCCTCTCTCGTCTGAGGGCCCTCTTGGGTTTTTGGGGGCCCTCTTGGAGGCCTCTTGGGCCGTCTCGGGGCGGTCTTGGGGGCCTCCAGGGCCTTCTTGGCGCGTCGGGGAGCCCGAACGACGAGAACGCTAAAAACCTCCAAGAGCCCTCGGGGAACCCATGACTTTGGCTTCTTGGGTTAGAAAGTCCAGGATTCGCTAGGGATTGGTCTCTGGTCAAAACAGCCGAAGCCGAAACCTTCCCGAAACCCTCCCAAAATCCTGTGGGAAGGGTTCTCGGAGAGTTTTCGGAGGGTTTCGGGAGGGTTTTGGAATGGCCTTCGTCGTTTTGGGAGGAAACCAGTCCCTAGCGAACCCTGGGCTTTCTAATTCTTGGGGCCTCCCCCCGTCCGGGCTCGGCGCCGATTTCGTGGGACACGGCGCGGGCGGGCCGGCCCGCCGCAGGTCAGGCGATAGCAGACATGGATCCAGGGGGCGTGGATTAGCGACGGGTCCAGTTTCCATGGGGAATCGCGGATTTCCGCCGCCGAACGAGGCGGCACCGGCCGCTTCCTGGGGATGGCACCTCCCCCGATCCATGGATTTGGCGACCGCTCGCCAAATCCATGGATCGCTAATCCATGTTTGCGCGTCCCAGGCTTGGGGCCTCCCCTCCCCCTCCGAGCTCGGCGCCGATTTTGGGGGACACCGCGCGGGCGGGTCGGCCCGCCGCGGCGGCGCCGATCTGGGCCAGGCAGTGCCGCGGGCGGCGTCGTGTCCACGGCGCGGGGCGGGTCGCGGCGCGGCAGTCCACATTGCAGAGGAGGGAGAAGGAGGGAGGGAGGAGGGGGAGGAGGAGGAGGGGGAGGAGGAGGGAGGAGGAGGGAGGAGGAGGAGGAGGAGGAGGAGGAGAGAGGAGGAGGAGGAGGAGGAGGAGGAGGAGGAGGAGGAGGAGGAGGAGGAGGAGGAGGAGGAGGAGGAGGAGGAGGAGGAGGAGGAGGAGGAGGAGGAGGAGGAGGAGGAGGAGGAGGAGGAGGAGGAGGAGGGAGGAGGAGGAGGAGGAGGAGGAGGAGGAGGAGGAGGAGGAGGAGGAGGAGGAGGGAGGAGGGAGGAGGGAGGAGGGAGGAGGGAGGAGGAGGAGGAGGAGGAGGAGGAGGAGAAGGAGGAGGAGGACCAGTGTAAACCTAAGAGTCATCAACGATGTTGGAGTGAAATCTCCCTCCAAGTTCCCTCTCCGTAGGCCTCTACAACGGTTGATTTCCATTGAGGGAAGTGCCTCGTTAGAAGACAACAGTTCGAAGATCTTGAAGCGTGCCAAAACATTGCTCTCCGGATTTCAGCGCCACGTATCAACCTGACTGCTGCGTCTTGACGACCCGGGATCGCACCAGAACGCCATTTTGGGGACTTCAGCTCCGCGAATCAACATGACTGTTGCGCCTGCATAATTCTGAATCCTTCTAAAACACCATTTCTGGTACGTTGATCATGGGATTCCGTGAAACTCTTGCACATGTTTCAAACAAATGTACGCGGCGCTAAGGCGAGAGCCACATGTTGAAAAGGAACCGCCCTCAATCCGCCAAAGCCTTCGCAAATGTGTAAAACGAATGTGCGCGGCGCTAGGACGAGAGCCACATTTCGGAAAACGGCCCGCCTTCAATCCGTGAAACTCTTGCAAATGTTTCAAACGAATGTGCCTGGCGCTGAGGCGAGAGCCACATTGTGAAAAGGACCCGCCCTCAATCCGTGAAATCTGGCAAATGTTTAGAACGAATGTGCGCGGCGCTGAGGCGAGAGCCACATTTTGAAAACGACCCGCCCTCAATCCGTGAAATCTGGCAACTGTTGAAAACGATTGTGCGCGGCGCTGAGGCGAGAGCCACATTTTGAAAACGACCCGCCTTCAATCCGTGAAATCTGGCAAATGTAGAAAACGAATGTGCGCGGCGCTGAGGCGCGAGCCACATTTTGAAAACGACCCGCCCTCAATCCGTGAAATCTGGCAAATGTTGAAAACGAATGTGCGCGGCGCTGAGGCGCGAGCCACATTTTGAAAACGACCCGCCCTCCATCTGTGAAACGTTGCCACTTTTTAAGCTTCAGAGTCATCGCTGGTGAGGAAGTCTCAGGCGAAACGCCCGGCCCGCCCTCAAAACTGGCCTCGGGGTGAGACAGGGAAAAGTAATCTATAAGGAGAAGGAATGGAGGGAGGAGGAAGAAGAGGAGGAGGAGGAGGAGGAGGAGGAGGAGGGAGAAGGAGGAGAGGGAAGAGGAGGAGGAAGAGGAAGAGGAGGAAGAGGAGGAGGAGGAGGAGGAGGGGAGGAGGAGGAGGAGGGAGGAGGAGGAGGAGGAGGAGGAGGAGAAGGAGAGCGAGGAGGAGGAGGAGGGAGGAGAAGGAGAGGGAGGGAGGAGGAGGAAGTGGATGCGTTGCGGAGCGGGTCGCCGGGCGACGACAACACCAATCCGCACCCAGGCACCCCTCGCCTCCCCGCCTCCTCTCTCCTTTGCCCCTCGTCCGCCCCTCCCGGCTGGCGGTTCTTTCGACCCGCGCCCTCTCTCCGAGGCTTCGGCATTGACCCGAGGGCACCCCCCACCCCCTCACAAGCGCAGCAACTCGAAGAATAACAAAAACACATAAACATAAACTTTTAGCGCTCCGCGCGTATTTCTTGGATCCGCGCTGGGACCCCCCTCCCTGGCGCGCGGAGCGCGCCAGGGGCGGCGCCGAAGGCGCCGCTGGGGGGGCCCAGTGCGGATCCAAGAAATCCGCGCGGAGCGCCAACAGTATGTTTATGGCGTTTTTCCTCCTTTGGATGTGCCAGCCGATCCGCTTAAAAATGGGTGTGCTGGCCCATCCGCTATCGTTTTGGATCCGGGGGACCTCTGGCACAATCTATCTTTTTCGTGTACCGGCCGATCCGCTCCAAATGGGCGTGCCGGCCCATCCGCTATTATTTTGGGCCCCAGGGGGCTTTTCCAAACTCGCCGAGCTGGGTAATTCTTATCCCCCAGGGCTTTCGAAGGACCCTGCCATCGCCGACAGGACCAGGAGTAGGAAGGCATGGGAGGGACGGTAGGCATTCTCATTGAATTCAATCAAAATCCCAACCAACCCTTTGCAGTACGAGCAGCGCAGTTGGCGGCGGAGCTTTTTCCCATCCCATCATGATAGGGTCACGTGAAGTCCCTGGAGACGGGACGGGCTGGGAATCGGTTGGCATCACAGCTGGCCCACCATCACAAAGAAGCGCCGTAACATCTACACCATCAGCTGCAAGACTAATCCACTTGCGGATTCAATGTAATTACTTTCACGGGCATCCGTTCATGCGAAGCAGCATGATCCCCCCTCGGGCCACGGGAAAAAAGAACACGACGGGTGGTGTCCGTCAACGAACGACTCACCGTGAGAAGCCTGTCCCAGGAATAGGTCGAGACCTCTGGATGTCGACGTTACGAACAAAAAAACACATGACTTCAGAGGTCTGAGAAAGTGTAAGACAGCGCGGCCCCCACATTTTTACCAGACTCGCTCAGTCTCTTGATTTAGCAGGCCAGGCTGGAACACCAGCCAGGCCAATTCAGCAATGATAAGCGTCATGCCATTTTTTTGACTTGGGGGGAGGGGGCAGTCCTCGCGGAGAGCGTGCTGGGTGGATCATCACGAAACATCCATGTCAACAAGTCGAGGGCAATTGCCACACGTACTATGTCGCGGAAGAGCATGCACTTTTGTCCGTGCCCTGCACTGCTCTCCGGCCGAGCAACTCAATCTGGTTAGCTGGCTTTCATCGACAGCGCGCATTACGTATCGGGGTACAGCACGCAGGCGACAGTGTGTGGATGCATCGTCCACAAAAAGGGTTTTGCAGCGGAGAGCTCTCTCGTAAGACATATGTCGATGTAGGGCTGGGAGTGTATATGTTCATTCTTTTGCTGCCCAGAACAGACATATGACAGCATTCCCATCTGGCGTGCTCATATGGCAAGATGGGGACGGCGATGACAGCTACGACACCCAAAGTGAAGTGGCGACGAAGTGGGGTAATTAGAACGAGGCGGAGGTGAAGATGAGGGCAAGAACAGAAACGAGGAGGGCGAAGACGAGGAGGGGCAGGAGCTGGATTTTCGGAAGGAGGGAGGAGAGCCGAGGGACAGTATAGAAAGTCGCATAAGGAGAGTGCCAGGGGCGGGGGGGAAGGGTCAATCCGAAGAAGGCGTGTGTACACCATTGTCGTGCCTGGCCAGGGCCATCCCATTGGGCACCTGGACGGTGTAGAGACCCTCCCGACCTCGGGGGGGAAATGTTGGGGAGCGGGTGGTGAAAGGCGAGTACGAGGAGCACCTTGTGGGAGCGGTCGGCCAGATCGCGATTCGTGAGCGTGGGAGAACACGGCTGGCCGCCCCTGGGCGCCAGGGCGGAATTCTTGCCCGCAGGGTGTCACGGTGCCCTTGGCGCCCTCCCTCAGGTTTGCACCGTTGCCCGCCTCTCCAGCTGAAGGAGCTGGAAGCCACCTTCTCTCTGATCCTCAGGTTCGGCGTTCTGTGCGGCTGGCATTGCCCGGACTGGCGGCGCCCAGCCTTGGGACC